CACTGAGGCTCTCCCTCCTGGAGTGTGCAGACCCCTTACAGGCAGCTGTCACCCTGAAATGCCCTTCACTGCCCAGCTCCCTTCCCTTCAGTGTGTGAGTCCCTGTTTCCGACCTGCCATACCTCCCGTTTTCTTGATTTCCTCCTCCATCTTGATGTCTAAAATATTTTAAAATGTTTTTTATTCACCTACAAAGGTAGAATACTCTACCTACTCAATGATGATTTGGCCAAGTGAAGAATTCTAGATAAAAAACCTTTCTCTCTCAGAATTTTAAAGGCATTTTCTCCATCGTTTCTGGCAGTGAGCAAAACCATTCTGATGCTAGCTCCTGTGTTGGTAACTTGTTTGTTCCATTTGGAAGCTTTTAGGATTTCCTTTCTCTCCCTAGTGATTTGAAGTTTTATGATAAAATGCTGTGGTGTTAGGCTTTTTTCATTTAGTGTGGTGAGCGTTTGGCCATCTCATTTGAGCTGGAGACTTGTGTCCTTCAGTTTTAGAAGAATTCTTATTTCTCTGCTATTTCCTTTCCCTCTGTCCTCTATGCTTTTTTGATGAGTTCTAAATCAGTGGTTTCACCTTCTAGGTCAGTGGTTCTCAAGCTTCCTAATGTTGCAACCCTTTAATACAGTTCCTCATGTTGTGGTGACCCCCAGCTATAAAATTATTTTCGTTGCTACTTCATAACTGTAATTTTGCTACTGTTAGGAAGCATAATGTAAATATCTGATATGCAGGAGACCCCCAAAGGGGTCACTACCCACAGGTTGAGAACCGCTGTTCTAGCTTTATCCTTTAAATATCTTGTATCTCACAATGCCATCTCTTTCTTCTGTTTTACTTTTTGGAATTTTCTGAATTTTATCTTCCACCTTTTATATAGAAACCAAGGAAATTTAAAATAAGGTTGAATTTAAACAGCTTCTTCTTCTTTAGATTTCTTTGGCATTGCTTTTTGTTCTGACAGTGTGTGGGACCCAACACTAAATAAACTTGTTTATTTGCAAGTCAAATTTAACTGGGAGCCCTGCAGTTTTATTTGCTCTTGGTAACCTTATTCCCAGTGCCTAGGGAGAGTAAATTAGAAAAGTGGAAGTGATACGGGAGTCCATAGACAACAGTGATTTGGTCAGGTTCAGGGTAATGTGCCTCAGCTTTGATCCTGGCAATTGCTTTGTATTTGCCAGGAGTTTGGATGGGGAGAGAAAGAGGTTATTCTTTTTGAGTGTTAGACTCCCCACTTGTGCCTAACTTGGTCAAATGAGATCAAGTTTGGAAGCACATGTTATGCGATCAGAAATACACAGGCTCTGCCCCACTCCTCCTGTCCTATCCTAGCATGCTCACTACCTATATGCAGAGGTGATTGAATATTCTAGAATCCACAGAAAAAGGCTCTTAGACAACAGAAAATATCCCAATTTCAAATGTCCAATTTGTTTCCTGTGCATCAGTCTTTAAGGGAGTGACACCTCCTGACCTTTGCTCCCTGCCTGAAACTGACTTGTATAGTCTGTGCCCTTAGGGATCTCTCCTAGAGGCATAGTACTGTTTGCCCTGCCCTGTCAGCGAGTCTGGTGAACTCAAAGCAGGCTTCAGACTCCTGGATGGTTTGCCCTGCAAACAGAAGAAACTGTGAATGCAATTCTAGCCATTTGTGCTTCACACATTATCTGAACCAAGAGTCTTCCTGCTTGGAGCTTTTCTTCATTTCCTTTATCTTCTCTCTCACATTATATTATTTCAGTTTTTATTCAAAAATCAAGTTTTAAAGGAATTTAGCACCCTTATGCAATAGATGTGAAAAGATTAGCTTTATAATTCTTTTAGTTGCACATCCTTTGGCCCAACAGATTCTCCAGAAGCATGTACACATGCGCAAGGATGTATATACTAGGATGTTTCTCGCAGTTTTAAAGTATCAAGGTACTGGAGATAACCATAAAGTCCCTCAGTTGGGAAATGGGTTAAATATTGTTGCTTGTATTTGCTTCTGTTATTTAATATAGTGGATGATCAGTAGCAATGATTGAAATAAAAATCTTACCCAATTTCTGTCTTTATATTGAAGAACTGCATGAATACATAAAAATTCAGTTAATTCAGTACTTTTTTTCGAACTGTGGCTGAGAATTTTAAATTTATTTTTTGTATGACAGTTTTATTTTTCAAGCTCTTTTTATAGCATAAATGATGCTTTCTGTAATACCTTTTTTATGACGTTGCCATTCAGCTGAAATATATAAAATGGAATTTATCACACAAATAACATTAGTCATAACTTTAACTTTCAAAATATAGAAACTATCATGAAGTAAATAATTCTGTTTAGCATTCACAGACATAGAACCTTAATGCCTGTTTCCCAAGTTATGATTTTTAAGTAACCACTTACTGTTTCCTTTTACTGAAAATGGGTACCTTTCTCAACTAAATTTGTATCATATAAGATTTAATTTTTATAAATTATAAGTATGCTAACAAATTTTAATCAAAAACAAAGCCTTAAAATTTGGAGAATAATATGAACCTTTCAATAAAAAGGAATGTGATTGCCTTATAGTTAGTCACACTTTGGTTTTTAACCCCAGAGGGAATTACCCTTTTCATCATCCACAGCCCTAACCGAAATTCCTTCCTTACAACGTTGGACGGGTTCTAAAACCAAATGGCCACTATTGGGTCAACTTCAAAGACTGTATAAAAGGGCTCTGATGGGAAAGAACACTGTGTATCTACGTGTTTGTGCACTCAGGTGTGTGTGTGTGTGTGTGTGTGTGTATAACATATATGTTCTAACTGTGGTCAAACTTTATGTTGGAATTATTTGCGATGACATCTGTGAATAAGGTCTTTCTGAGCCTTTGTAGTTTTGTTTTTATAGTATCATGCCATTAGAGGGCAGTATTGTAGAGGTTAAATTTTCCTTCTGAAATGTATGGAATTGCAAACTGTTTATGTTGCATAATAATCAAGCAAACTCCGGCCTTAGATTTACAGTATATTAAGCTGTAAATAATTTGCAAATATTTTAAGTTAATAGTTGAAATTTGGAAGGGATTAGGCCATTTTGCACCCGCATCTCCTAATTTCGGTGTAAAGAAGGGTATTATTTGGTCGATGTGGCTTTAAGGATGAAATAGAGGTGAGTTGTTAGCATCTATTAGCTACATAACTCTTTTTAACCATCCTCAAATCCTCCTTTTTACTGGTTCTGGACACTCACATGAGCTAAGAGACTAACTGCGAAGAGTCGTGTGCTTTGAATACCTGTATATGAGTATATTTCACAATATTTCAATCCCTCTCGTGTAAGAAGGCTCATAGGATTATGTCTTAGAGGAATCGCCACTTCCAAAAGTTTGCCTTAGAGTCTTACTGAAAATAGATCTATGTAGGATTCAACTGGTGGATTGCATTTAGGAGACATTTAATTACTGGTGAGACGGTACTGATCCGGTGTGATTTTTAAGGTCTCTGACTTTAGGAACATTTTGGGAATATCCATCGGATTTCATCCATTGGGTTCCGTTTTTACTCAGTTGTTTTGCCTACCAAAGAATATGTAATGTTTTTTGTTTTGTTTCTACAAGTAATTGATAAATTTGCGGAAAGGCAGTATCTCTCAAAAAGCAAATGTGATTTTCCCTCTAAAATAAAGCATTATTTGCAGTATGGTTATTATCCTTAAAAGTAAAACCGCCTATAAAACCCTCCCATTACCACTGCCTGTAAGAACTAGATAATTGAAGTCACTCGAGCTCCCATTACCACTGCCTGTAAGAACTAGATAATTGGAGACACTCGAGCTCCTCCGAGTCTCAGCGGTGGGACTGGGCATGCCCAGTAGCTCAGGCGGGTCTGGTTGCAAATAGGAAGCTTTAGCCGTTCAGGCGCCGCGGGCCGGGCAGCTCCGCGGACGGGGTCTGACTCCCTGGAACGTAAGCACGTGCGGGGCCCGGTCGTATTTTTCGGGGACTTCTCTCTTTTCTGCTTGGAGCAGTTCAGCCCTCCGAGGCTGCGGTGGAAGCTTCGGGGGCCCCAAACCCGCGTTGCTCTGAGCGCGGCCTGGGCCAGCCCACCCGAAGAGGGGGCGCTCGAGGCTGGGGGTGGGGTGGAGGAGGAAGGCGGGGAAGCTGGAGGAGGACTGGGGAGAAGGGAAGGAGAAGGGGCGGTTCCCGTGGCGTGCTGGCCAATCGGCGCGGCTCTTCCCTTGCATATATTTTGCACTAAGACTGGGAGACGGGGACTAGAGCCGAGTGCAGCCGGGCGGCGGATCTGGGAACCTTCTTCGCACAGCACTGAGATCCTGGTCTTCTTGGGATCACCAAGCCCCCCGAAGCCGGTTTCTTCAAATCGGGGCTACTGTTTTCTCTTTCTCCCTGGGCTACAGAAAGCTAGAAGATTCTATCTAGCTCAAACAAGGCTGCTGGTGGTCCCTCTTTTTTCCACGAGGGTGTTTTTGGCTGCAATTGCATGAAATCCCAATGGTGTAGACCAGTGGCGATGGATCTAGGAGTTTACCAACTGAGACATTTTTCAATTTCTTTCTTGTCATCCTTGCTGGGTACTGAAAACGCTTCTGTGAGACTTGACAATAGGTAAATGTCGGCTGGGATAGTTCTTCAGATTTACTCGTTAGATACTTATAATAATGCAGGTGAAAGATAGCCAGGCAAATTCCTTTGTCCATTGCTGAGAGATTATGGTGACTTGGATGTTGCTTTTTGAAATGTTCAGAATAGCCTTATTTTGCAGATCTGGCCAGAGAATAGGGTTTCCCCACATTATGTAATTTAGCCTTTTGTGGCTCATTAAAATAGGGAAATGCCTGGATATTCGTTAGGGAGAGAGGGCTTGAGGCTGATACATTACATTAAAAAGAGTATTCAAAATCTGACGCTAGCAACATCATAAAATTGGGAGATCCTTTTTTTATCTTTGACATTTAAGATAAATTCCATCTATCGGTAACCTTTTATATTTTCCGTCTTTTTCAGCTCCTCTGGTGCAAGTGTGGTAGCTATTGACAACAAAATCGAGCAAGCTATGGTATGTACTGATTAAAAGTCATTTATACTAAATGTGGGCACAGCACAAAAAACGAGGTGTCTTGTGGAAGCAGTGCATCCCTGAGTTCAGATGATTACTCTTGGTAATTTAGAAATGCCGGCACTGTCTGCATGCTGCAAGCATGAAGGCTCCTACCACGGCCGCCGTGAAGGGAGACAGGGGCCTGGGGGTAGTAAATGTTCTCCTTTTCTGGACTAATTTCACTTAACGTTATGATTCCCCCCCCTCCCACACACACACACGTTGTCCCTTTTTGTTAGGGATTTGCTAGGGAAGCACTGGCCGGTGGGCTCCTTAGTTGGTCGGGCACATCCTTAGCGATGTGCCTTTACTAGGAATCCTAAGATTTTACTAGGGAGCGAGGGAGGGGGGAGTGGAGATCTCGGGGAAGGGCCTTCTCGATGGTGCACAAACGGATCCCTGGTTATGCAGGCTACAGCATAATGAAGAAGAATCGGAGAAAAGTTTTGTTTTCTCTGCCTGCCTGAATTTCTCCTATTTTTTATTTCCGCCTTGGCTGTTCTTTGTTATTGGAGCAGCGCCTGTGGCTCTTCTCACGGGATTCTCTGCCCACTGTTGCTAGGCAAACTCCGAACCTTTAATTCGGAGCTATAAATAACTCGCACTCCCATTGGTTGCGACGGCTGCCCAGGTTTCTGTGATGTCAGCTTAATCACGAAAAGGGAGGGGTGGGGGTGGAGGGAAGAAAATGCGGCAACATGCTCTGTAGGAACTGGCTGCAGCTGGTGCTGAGGGAGGCGGCTCCAGGCGGAGGGAGGGAGGGATGGGGGCGGAGAAGCGGCGGGGGAGCTGCGGCCCTGGGCGTCCCGGGGCCGGGCTCTGGTCTGGAACCCAGCGCCGGCTGGGGAGCCACAGTGCATTTTGCCACCTCAAATAGAAAACCTGACTCTGCTGACGTCTGCAGAGAAAGCAGATTTTTAAAAAGCTTGATTACTTATGCATTAAACTTAAGTACTGTACAGTTGTAGTTGTATTCACATTCCCCCAGGTGTCTATTAAGAACTTACGGGCGGGATGTGTGTGTAAATGGTTAGGGAAAGTCATGCAGAATAATGCCTGAGAATTCAGAGTCCAGTAAATAATGAGTGAAGTCATTTTTTTTTTTTTTTATTTCCTCTTCTTTCAGGATCTGGTGAAAAGCCATTTGATGTATGCGGTTAGAGAGGAGGTGGAGGTCCTGAAAGAGCAAATCAAAGAACTAATAGAGAAAAATTCCCAGCTGGAGCAGGAAAACAATCTGCTGAAGACACTGGCCAGTCCTGAGCAGCTCGCCCAGTTTCAGGCCCAGCTGCAGACTGGTTCCCCGCCTGCCACCACGCAGCCCCAGGGGACCACGCAGCCCCCAGCCCAGCCTGCGTCCCAGGGCTCAGGACCGACCGCGTAGCGCCTGTGCCCCCCTGCAGAACTGGCTGCTGCGTGTGAACTGGACAGACCAGAGAAGACGTTCTAGGGAGGACCCGCCTCCACAGTCACTCATTTCATTGCTCGCTGCGGAGAGACGTGAGACTGACACATGCCATTATCTCTTTTTTTCCAGTATTAAACACTCATATGCTTTTGGCTTGAAGAAATCTCTTAGTTGAGTGAATTAAAGGTTAATCAGAGAATTAGTGTGGATATACTGGGACCTCATGCAGCTTGGCAGATACCTGAGAAATGGTTTAATTCATGCTGAGGAGCTGTGTGCCTTTCCGTCCCTTCCCGCTCCCCACCCCACTTCCGAGAGTTCTCTTCCCTGCTTGCTGTAGTGTACTGCACCGGGTTATGAAGCGTGGAGCTCCTCACTGGACTTTCCTCTCCCCTCTCCTCCCCCCTTGAAGAACTTGAAAGGGAGGGAAAAGTAAAGACTAAACTGAGGGGGAACAGAGTTCATTGTACAAATTGGCAACTGTCACCAAAATCCATTAAAAACAATAGTACTGTGCCTCTTTCTGAAACTGGATGACACAAAACTGTTAGAGTGACAAAACGTTGACAGGTAGCTGGGACCTGGGCTATCTGACTATGAAGGTTGTTTTGCTTATTGTATATTTGTGTACGTAGTGTAACTATTTTGTACAATAGAGGACTGTAACTACACTTTAGGTTGTACAGATTGAAATTTAGATGTTTCGTTGGCTGTCTGAAGAGGTGTGGGCTGTCTTTTATATATCAATCTACAGAAAAACCTGCTACATGACAAAAACCACACCGAGAGAAATTTTAAGAATTTGGCACAGTTACTCATATTGTGTAATCTGAAATCTTGTAGCTGCCGACTATCCTGAAGTAAATCTCTGTTTACTGAAGTCTTTCGATTGAGTTGTTTGAATACTTTGAAAAATGATCCATTCTAGTTACTGAAATGGATTTTCCCAGTAGGGGTTCTGCATATCACCTGTATAGTAGTTTTATGCATTTGTTTCTGTGCATGTTCTCCACACAGTTGTAAGGTGTCACTGTATTTAACTGTTGCACTTGTCAACTTTCAATAAAGTATGTAAAATGTTGATAAACAAGTGTTTCCATATTACAGTGTTAACCTGATTGCAGTCATTTCCGCAGCTATTTCTAAGTAAAGCTAACAATTTGGCTAGTAAAATCCTAAAGGGGAGTGGAAGGGCTGGACAAAGCAGAGGCACCAGTGGTTTGACTGCAGTGGTAAGGGCAATTGACCTTGCGTTGTCCACCCCATCAGGAAAGAAGACAGTGGGAGAGTTGTGCTCAGCTCTAAGTCCTGTGTGATGTGAACAAGTCACTTCACTCCTCCAGGCTAATGTGAAGGATTAAAAGAGGAAATCTCTTAAATTCTTCTGTGGCTTTAAAATTCTGGGAATTCATCAAAATCTTTAAGTTTCCAATGTTTACTAAATTCAGAAGGGAATAGCCATATCCTGTGTATACGTAAAATAAGCAAGTCTAGGATCAAAAGATGGAAGCTGGAGAAACTGATTTCCAGTTGAAGAACCAAGCCTATCGCCCTGGGTTTAAATGATTTCTATCTAACGTGGGATGAGTTTTCTGGCTCCTTGGGACAATCTTGCTTTGTGCAAGCAAAAGTCTAGATTCGAGGCGGGACCAGATAAGCAAGCGAGTCCTCCCAATTTGATTCCACAAGACTATAAAATTAGTCAATATTTCAAATATGATGGGATCTGCAGTTGGCACCTGAGGATTGAGACTGGGAGGCTCCTATTGTGCAGTAGGAGCAGTGACTGTGAGCCAGTAAATGGTGGATTTACCAGCTCTGTAATCTGCCCCGGGACCTCAGCAATGACCCCTGCCCAGTGGGATTCTGAGCATTCCCAGGCTCTCGGGCTTACCTAAGTTCTTACATGACCAAGGACTTAATTTTCTGAATCCTTCACCTCTCTGATGTAGAGCTGGTGGGATAAATTTATTCATCTTTTCTGAGAGATCCCAGAAAAGAATTATTAGATGGTGTGCATATATGTTATAAAGTGGTAACACAGGCTTCCTCTTGAAACGGAGCTGCTGACCACCATAAGCTGATGACAGTTGCCACAAAGATACTTTAGGGAAATTGGGAGATGACTTGAAAAAAAATCTTTGTCCTATTAGTTTGAAGGTTATGTAACTTTGACTGAAATAAAGGGATAATTACGTAGTAATTACATTTCCTTTAAACAGAAACCAGAGTGAAGAGAAATCCCTAGCCATTTTTATTTTTTATATTTTTAATGAGCATCTTAATGCCATAGGTGGTGATTGTGGAAAATTTGAAAAATCTCATGTCAGCATGTTAAGGTAATAGAGAACTCTTCCATTATTTAATGGAAGTTTGAATCCTTTTTTATTAAATATGTGAAACTCCCTGTCATGAAATTTTGATAGCTGGATGTGGTATGTGAAGTAAGAATGAGTTATAAAACAAAAGCTGTTTTTCCATACATGTTCATCATTTTAGTAATTACTAAATATACTTAAAGTGATTTATATTTAAGCATATTTAAGGTAATTGAAAAAGGCATTTTGCTACTAGTTTACAGACCTAAGGAGGCCTTACTAGCCTGTGTGTTATTATGTAATTGATTCTATCACTCTTGTGTTCTGTGAAGGAGAGATTTCTAAGGGGAAAGGAACGTTGTACCAGCCCTGGGTGTTCATGACATCAGCTGCAGCAGGAGAAATCCCTGTTCAATGAAGGAGAAACAGAAGGAATTTTACAGAATTTTAATGAATATCTGCTTCCTGTTTCAAATTAACTGTTCCCAATTCAATAATTCTGTGCTTTTTTGCATACTTTAAAAGCAAAAACTTATTTTTCATTACACAATAAATACGCAAGGCCAGGATTGCTTTTAAATTTGTACAAGACATGTATGAAAGTTAACCGAAACTGAAATTAGAAATGAAAATTAATTTCAATTCTGGCATTACTTGGCCCTTGGCTTTGTGTAAAATGAGGAGTTGAAGCTACCCAGGCCTGACAACATGACTGCATGTAGACTTCACCTTCGAATCCATTCAGAGAGTAGTTAATGGCATTAAGATTAGAAACAGAGGCAGAGAAAATAAAGTTTCCTCTCCCTCTTAGATAAAATTGCCTGAAAATGGAGATCTGTGTCCACCTACAGGACTTGGAAACAGTGCAGTGAGTTTCCTGCGCTGGGTGTGGGAGCACACACCGCTGAGAGTTCGGCTGCTGGCTGCCAGGCCTGGCCTGGCCCGCAGTGACCAGCCGTTTGACCTTTGGACAAGGAGCAGAATCCCTCAGACCTGTGTTCTTTATCTGTAAAATAAGGATCAGGTCAGATCACAAAGATTCTGTCCTGCCACGGTGCTAAACTTTTCTTCTTTTTATGATGACTTTATTTTATTCTTCTACCTTTTGGAAGGAAGGAGTGTATGTTTGTTGGGGGTAGCAGTTGTTTTTGTGTTTCATTTACATTAATGACTAAAATTAATTTGGTTTCAATCCTAGTTCCTCTGCCAGTCACTAGCTAAGTGACCCCAGGCAAGTTACTCTTTGGTCTTTGTTTCTTTGTGTTTAAAAAGGGACGTACTATCTCCATAGGGGTTTTGTGAGGCCCACAGGGATGCGTTCAGAGTAAGATGGGTTGAAGGAGGATTAGCTGTTAATGTTGTTTTTGAGTTATTAATCATCGTGCTTATGTTTATAGATTTCATTTTGTATTTGTGACAGCTTTATTTTCGAATAGCTTTTGATTTAGTATTTGGTGATAGTGCTGACTATTTAAACTTTGAAAACACACATAGAAGAAAACGTTGTTTAGAATATAGACAGAAATACCCTGTTTCTTCTGTATCTAAGAAATAATGCCAAATTCCACTGCTTGCTTTATGTGAGTTAGAGACAAGATTGGGAGTTGTTCATGTTTCAATGTCCATTATTTTCAATAACATGAAAATAATATTATTGGAAGTAAATGATTACAGGTGGGGCAAATATATGTCATAAATTATTAGTTTCATTATTGAAAAAGACCAAAACTCTATAAACAATGCTTTGGAATGCCAGGCAGGCTGGAAGGCCCTGAGATTAGTGATCAGAGTCTGGCAACAGCTACTGGACGGTGCAGTAGCTATGTAGAAGTTTCTACAAACTTACAACACAGAGCTTTCTTTAAAGCGGGTATTAGGGACAGTGTCCGTGAGACACAGCTGAGAAGTTTCTTGAGTGAGTGAGGTGAATTATAGGAAGTAGTAGTAACTGATGGTTGCAGAGTGAGCTCGTCTCACAGGGACAGCTGCTGCCCACCTCCATCCAGTTGTTGACATACGGGAATTCAAGCCCCATGTTGTCCAACCTTCCAGTTTCTTCCAAGATCCAGAAATCCAGGATTCTGTCTGGAAATGCCTGACGTTTGGACACTGTGCAAACCAAACAAGGTCATACCCACCCTGTCTGCCTTCTAACTTCTGACAACCTCAAGAGCCAGACTTGTGCCTTCAATGGCCACTCACTTTGCAGCTCAAAGTAAAACTCCTCAGAAAAACTTCCTTCTGATCAGAGAAAGGGGGCACGGGCTATCTGGTAAGCTATGTGTGAATTCTGACAACATTTACCGAGTACCTAAGGTAGTGTAGTAAACCAGCCATGGTGCTCACATAGCTGCTTTTAAGATAAATGAGGTAGTTTTTCTGGCAAAATTTCCTTTGTGCGATATAATTCTGAATTATTCCTTTGCTTTCACAGATGAACCCTTTGGCAAAAATATTTCCAGGAGTTCTTTTAATAACTCTTGTTAAATGGGTAGCATTTTTGTTGTTGGAAGTATACCCCCACTACTTTTCTAGCTGACACATTTATGGACAAAGACCTGTGTTTGTAAATGTGTGTGCTGAAAGGTTATGTAACACATGCCCAGCATTTCCTGGGACAACATATTTCAATTAAAATAATCTGTCCAGGCCAGGTACAGTGGCTCATGCCTGTAATCCCAGCAATTTGGGAGGCCGAGGTGGGTGGATTGTCTGAGCTCAAGGAGTTCAAGAACCTGTCTCTAAAAGAAAAAAAAAAAAAAAGCTGGATATTGTGGTGGGTGCCTGTAGTCTTAGCTACTCTGAAGGCTGAGACAAGAGAATCATTTGAGCTCAAGAGTTTGAGGCTACTGTGAGCTATGATGCCATAGCACTCTACTGAGGGTGACAAAGTGAGACTGTCTCAAAATAAAACAAAAAACTAATCTGTCCTATTGTCTCATAAGTACATTTAATTCATGCCGTGAAAATTG